TAGTATGTAAGATTTGAATTAACGGTTTTATGAATTCAAAAACTGGATTTTTAAATTCTAAAACCAGTTCTATAAGTTCTAAACTTTTCAAAATTCAAAAACTGGTTCTGTGAATTCAAAAACAAGTTTATTAAGTTCAAAACCCGTTTTTGTAAAATTTTAAAATTGGTTTTCAACAATTCAAAAATTTGTTTTGTAGAATTAAAACTCAATAAGCCAAAAGAAGTTTCAAAAAACTCAATTTGCTCATTTAAACTGCTCCAAAAACTATGCACACAAGCTTCCCAACCTCATACATAGTTTCATTAATTTCTTCTCACAAACATTCTCCGAAAGCCAACAATTACCTAATGACTCAATAAGTGTCACTCCCATGTAGGCAAATCTATATATGTAGAGAAATAAAGGCATTGTAATGACACGAAAGAACATTTTCTCTTTTATTTACTCTTTTATTTTATATTTTGTAAATAATGAAATTTTAATGAAAAGAAAATTGATAATCCCTTCCTCTTCATTATATAGCAACGATTCCTGTTTCCTTTTGAATAACAAAAAATTTGCTCTCATTCTTCTTTACATCTCTTCAAGTATCAACATTCTACTACTCTATCACAAACAAATACTAAAAAATTGGAGGAAAATGAATCGAGTAGTTTTAAAGGGACGGTTGGAGTTGGTAGGTGATTGTGGCTTTTATGAATAAGGTTGATTTAGGATAAAACCACAATCCACACGTTTACTCTCTCCAACATAAAATTATGTATATCTATCTAAGGAAAATGGATTCATTTCCTCCCACATCCTAGCACATAATAATGTAATTTCTTTTTTTTTATTAACATTTAGGTTGTGACTATATAAAATAATAATTTTTTTAATAATCGTCAGCATTTCTTTTTATCTTTCATTATAATATATTATGAAAAACTATTAACTAAAATTATATTGACTCGATTTCTATTTAACTCTCTTAATTTATACATACTCATTAAATTATTCATTTATATATATATATTCTCTATTCTATATCATCAACTGACCAAAATGCTTCTTTCATTTCGTTTTTATTTCCAATGAAACTTTTCAATCAATTCTTATCTCACAAAATTGCTTCAAAACTATCTCTTCTTAAATTTCCACAATACAGAAGAAACAAATATATTTAACATGGTTTAGAAAGTTTTCTTTTTCTTTAATTAATAAACCAGAAGGCGATTTAATTTGGACGAAATTATTAAATTCAATATTTAAAGGTTGGTTATGACAAGTACGACAATTAGTTCATTTATGGAATTTTCCTAAACTATTAACAGAATGAATGTTTACATGATAGGTAAATATTAAGGTTAGATAAGATTTTGAGAAGATATTTAAGATTTCTTAACTTATGTAACTTGCTGAACTCGCTGAATTCAGATAAACCAGCCAATTTGCTGAATGCAGGTGAGCTTGCTGAATTTATCTGAACTAGCTGAAATAAATGAGTTTGATTCATTTTGCTGAATATTCTTAATTCAGCTAAACTAGCTGATACTGCTGAGTTAACGTGGTTTGTTGAATTCAGCTGAATTAGCTTAGTTTGTTGAATTCAGCTGAAATGATTTTGTTTGCTGAATTCAGTAGAGTTAACCAAGCTTGCTGAATTCAATCTTCTCAAAATCCAATCAACTACTTTAGAATAAATTGGATAAATTTAATAAAATAATAAAATTAATAAGAGAATATTTTCGAGGGCTTTCAACTCTTACAGATGCACACCCCATTTATGTAGATTAAATAAGTTTAAGGAAAGTACTTATGGGATCGGATTAGGATGGACTTGATTATGTACATTAATTAAATTACTATAAGTTTTTTTACATCATTTTAACACACATCCTGCATAGTAATTAGTAAGTAGTAGTAATTGCAGACATATCCATATATCTTGTAGACGAAGTAATAAAGTTATAAAATGACGAAAAGAAGTAAAATAATGTAAGAAGAATCTGAACGTCACGGAAATTATATACATTAAAAATCATGGGAAAACTTTATCGTTATCTTTAAAAAGCAAGAAAAAAATATATTTAAGCAAAGAAAAAAAAAATTAAAATTGCCTTTTAAATGTTGAACAAACGAGAGATGATGCTGAACTTTTTTATGTCTATATATATGAATGTATAAATGTATAAATATATATATAAAGTATGTAAGTATATCTAATGTACGAAATGGAAAAACTTTTTCTTCTTTTTTTTTGAGCATTTTTTTCAAATTGAGTTCATTTTTTTATGATAATTACCGGAGCTTTAAATCGATTTTTGCCTAAACACTCGCAGCGATAACATTAGATTGCAAAGATGAAAGTCCTCCTCATCCTCAAAGCAATTTGTTAAAGAATAGGAAGGAGATACTTTTTTAATGTCTGCTAATTGGATTAAATTCAATTAAATGTGAACAGATTTTACTTCATTACGTAGTCAATTAACCAATTACCTAATTAATCAAATAATTGGATTCGTTAAGACTTAAGAAACTCAATTTCAATAAGACTTAATATGCATAAAGAAGAATGGGTAAATGAGGAGAGGGCAATTTGACTTATAAACTCATAAGCGCATTTCCATTACTATTATAACTATTATTTAAAGTAGCTTTTTTTTTCATCGTTGAAATTTTATTTCTTTTATAAATTTTATTATTAATGAATGTTATTATTTGTTGCACTATTATCATTAATATTACTATTTTTATTATTATTTCTGTACAGTTTCCTACTTATACTTATGATTCTTTCATATTTTTTTTTGCAATTTTCTATATATTATGCATGAATTAATGTCGAACGTTCATAATCATCATCATCATTCATTCTTTGTTGATTTTCCATTTCATTTCGTTCTTTCTTTTTCTACCTTTTGTAGATAGACTGAAATCAGCATCGTTGCTCTATTATCATTATTATGGTTTTATGGAACTATTTTAATTGAAGATTTTCTCTCTCACTTTTGTGGGTGAATTTTAAGGTTGAGTTGATAATTAATGTAGAATAATTAGCTTTATTATTGAATTTTGTTGTAAATTGGGAGTTTTTGGTGAGATGTAAAACTAGTCTTTAGACCAGATTATGTCGCGAAAAGCCATTTTGCGTAAAACACAGAATTTACGAAGAAATTGTAAAATTCATAAGTATCATTCTGATTAATTCCAAAACATCAGTAGTCTGTAACCTTCCACAATTATATCTTTAATGATTGATATTAATCATCAACTCTTTAACCAAGTTTCATAAATGATGACTTTTAAGAATTAGTACTTAGTACTGATTTGAATATTACTAGTTACAAGGAACTTGTTCAAATCTTTACTGGGGTTTTCTTTGTACATTGGAATGCAATTGACGTAAATTGCGAGAAACATATTCAAATTAAGCAGCCTATCCTTAATATCAAATATTTTTGAATAGTATTTCTGCTGAAATGCTCATTAGAGATACATTTGAATAAAGTTCCAATAAAGGAATTTTGAATTGTTCTAAGAAAATATTAACATGATGAAATGAAGCTCATAATTGCGTCGCAAGTACCTTTGGTTTTGACAGGTATTGTGTGCTATATCAAGGTTACAGACTTGACTACAGAAGTTAGGTAAATTGATTTTTACATCAAAACATGTCTTTTAGCTTAATTTACTAGAATTTTCAATAATTTTGAACTAAAACTCTAGCAGAAAGATGAATACGAACCCTAGGCTACATACCTCCTCAAAACACCACAATTTCCTCCAAATTCATCATAAAACTCAAAACCATATTACCACATTAACTGCCATCACTTTTTACATTACTCAGAAAGAAGAAAACGAAATAATTTTCTCTCATGACAAGAAAAAGAATTTAAGGCATTATGAGTAGCTGAGGAAAATCTTTGTCATAATTAGAAAAAGATTTAATTCGCATCTCTCTTAATTAAATTATTCATCTTTCTTACATTAATTTATTTGAGATGAAAATTCTTCCTCCAACAGCATTAAAAACTTTTTCCTTCTCATATTTCTATATTTTCTTCTTTTTTTTTAATGTGTAGAAAATCAGACGAGAGGAAATCTTCTTCATTCAACTGCTGTTTATGTGCTTTTCTTTTGTGTAAATTTTAACTTCCACGATAATTTTACTTCTTCTTACATACATGAAGAACAACATAAGAATAAAATGTGAAAAAGAAATGAAATCATCAAAACAATTTCAACAATTCATAATGTGTAATTCATCTTTTTCTCTATCTTAAGGCAAAATTTTGTTTTCTTGTTGCTGAGATTCAAGGTAGATCAATTTCGAATCGAGACTTTTCTTTGTGTTTATTTAAATTTGCTAAACTAGCTGAATTAAGCAAAATTTACTGAACTTGCTGAATTCAGCAAAGTTAACTGAACTATCTGAATTCAGCTATTTAAGCTGAACTTGCTGAATACAACAAAATCCATTGATTATGTTAAATTCAGTAAACCCCATTGATCAAGCTGAATTCAGCAATATAAGCTGAATTAGCTGAATTCAAAAGATTACATAATTCAACTGAATTAAGCACAGTAAAAATCAGCATATCATCATTTAATAAAATGAAATATTGCCCACGATTTTCATGCTTTTTTTTCAAGCTACAAAGTTTTTGCAAAAAAGCTATCTTTTCGAAATTGACACACCTCGTTTTCAACATTGTATTTTAAATCGCTCGTGGATTCTTTAATAACATTTATACATTTCCATCATTATTTATAAACAACATCAGTAGATTATTAAGATTGAAGATCTTTGTATGCTGAATCTAAATGGATTGATGTTCTGCAAGATGGACACGAAAAATAAGGAATAATTAATTTAATTTAAAAACTTTTCTTATTCCATTAATGAAATGAAGTTCTTTATAATAAAATCAAATGAAAACATTTTTCTAAAGTGGAAGTAATTTATATTATTTGAGGAATAATATCCTGAAGTAATGAGACAATGAGTCGTCAGATGCCCCGCGAAGGAGAAAAAGTGTAGAAAACAAATAAAAAATGATCTGTTTTTCGTGAGTTTTTATAAATGTTACTTAACTTTGACGGTACTTCTCTTTTCTATAAATTTAAATTTATAAGATTTACTGACTTAAATTACTTGTAATTAGCGGTTCATGGATTTCAATTAAGCAGTAGCAATTCTCTTTTCTTTATATGGTAAATTAGTATTGATTTTAATTAATCTATTGATTGTTGAGCTATTAATTATTATGGCGATATAATATATTTTTTTCATTCATGATCGTAAATTAATTTAATTAGTTTCATATAAAATACATTCGAATGACTTTTTGCTTTGTGTATGGATGTTGTCTCACCTTTTAAATAATTTCTTATTCCTAGTTGTGTAGTTTTTTTTTGTACATAAAAGTAAAATGAACAGATTTCGTTTGATGCTGACTTGCGTATTTCAATATATTTTCGTTAATGATAAATAATCCTCTTTTATATCTATCTTTCTTTCTCTCGTACGACTTACTTTTTCAATTTCATAAAGCATTTTGGCAGGTAATTAAGAAAGTAATCAGTTTTTAACATTTTTCATGTTTCATCATCACTTGTGAGTGAAAGAAGAAATTGCTCGTTTATGATATAAAACAATAATCAGTTTACCTCCTTCATTTCATCCTCTTGTAAAGCTCTCATAACCTTTCTCGCTGTCTCACACCCAACATTCACTCAGTCCAAAGGAAATTTTATTTCATTTAGCAACAGCAACATCAGCAATAGAAAATAAAAGTTTAGGATGAAGAAAATTAATTCGTAAGGCTTCTCTCTCTCTCTCGATCCGTTCCTTCTTTGATTTCATTCCACTTCATAATTATCTCATCAATTATCATAGTATATTTAATCTGTAGCAACGTTCAACAACATAATTTTGCGTTTTTTTTTAAAAAAAATTTCTTCTTCCATTTCACTTTTTTTTTCATTCTTTTTTTTTCTTAATATTTGTTAAACAAAATCACAATGAATGAGGATAAAACTAGATTTGATAACATAAACGAGATTCTCAGCCTGGTTGCACTGCTGCCGGCTGGAGTAGTCTTTGGATTTGTTGCTGGTATAGTTGCATCGTCGATGAGGACTTTTGGTGTTTGTGGATTTGGATCTTCTAAATTTGGAGAAACAAATGAAACTTATTAAATTATGTAAATTTTTTTATACAACAACATTTGGCATTTAATAATGAAATGGCAGCTTAGTGATTGCCAGATTAGTCAATAAATACTTGATTTAGTGAATACTTAAAATTTCTAACCGATTTGAAATTTTTAAAATAAATACATTGACAATTATTCAGTAATTTTTTCATGAATCTATTGATTCTTCAGCAATAAATCTATGCTTTCTTCATCATCTACAGCTAAGCATTTCTCTCATTTAACTGTTAAGACTCTTATTAAATGGGCAATTCTACAGATAACTTCTTGGAAATTTTTACATAAAATTTCAAATATTTCTTATTTTTTGGTCTAAAGTTCCTTCAAAGTTATTCTTAGATGATGAGAAAAGTTAAAATCTTCAATTTAAAACATTCAATACAGTCTAACATACATTAATTAAAGAGAAATTTGAATTCTTTAGTCGATTTCTCGGCGTTAAAAAAAGGAATTTTTTTTTGATAATCCAAAGAATTCAAATTTCTGCAATTATAAAACAACTTATACCGTCATATATATATATATATATATATATATATATATATATATCATTCGACAGGAAATTTATTATTCTCTAATAATTAAAAATACAATTGAGTTTCATATAATAATTTCAAGATAAAACGAATCTTCTGATAAATTTTCATGTCGCCGAGAAATCAGAAAAGCGCATCTTTCCAGAAGCAAATTTCAAATTTTAAAAAACAATTAAAAATTTTTTTATGGAAGTTTCTTCAAGAAGTTCACTTCTTCTTCTTCATCTAAATCTGATGACTTTGCATATATGTTAGAATTCGAATAATATTATTAAATTTATCTTTACAAAAAAAATTGTCAACAAACGAATTGTTTACATTTTTTGTAAAGAACTTTTAAAATTTGAAATTTCAAGTAGAGAAGGAATTATTACTAAAATTTCAGAAATTCAACTCTTCTGTAGAATTGCCCAAATGCAAATTGCACTCATAAACCACTAAATTTATTTCATTACAGAAAATCTCAACTTTCACTGAGTTTTTGTCACCAAAACTCAATTCAAATTTTAGCACAAAATCCGTTATCTCAAAAATGATCGTTTTTAAATAAAGAAATAACAATAATCGGGAAAATTATAATAGATTTGTGATATTAAGATGCCAAATGTGTCATTCGAGATTAAAATAATAAAATTAGTAATTTATTACAAACAAAGACATCGAAACAAGAAAAGTTTGATGCTTAAGCGAGCATTGATACTTACGATAATCTCCAGATCCGGACATTTCTTCGTAGTCTTCATCGTCATCATATTGGTGCTGATGATATTCATCGTCATCTGCCGATCCGTGCTCGGCCATGTCAGAGAACATCTTATCAGTGTCTGATCTTGACAAATGAGTCATCTAAATGTGGCAATACACAAAAGTTTTTTTTGAGAGAGAAAAGAGAAGATTAGCATTAAAATTAATTGGTCCATTTGCAAAAGCGAATTTCGTGATTGTATCGAATTGACTATCAAGATTCATGCATGCCATCACCATCATCATATTATAAATATATAAACTCATTGTAAATGTGATGTGGCAAAATGAAATCAACCGAATAAAAAAAAAGGCACCGAAAACTTACCTGCTTATTCACAATATTTTTCATCGTGATTAGCTGATCATTAATTTTATGGAGTCTGCTGTGGTTGTTCTCGATATCGCTTTGCAGCGTTGGCACTTCTGGATTGTACTTTTGTGAATGCATATCCATGACTTTGTGGGTATAATCGCCCAAATGTTCACCAGTCCAACAATTTTTATCTTGCTTCTGATAACGATCATCCTCGCAATAGCTGTGAAGTTGGCACAAAAAAAAAATAAATAAGAGATTGATAATTTGTCACTGGCACGCGTTGTGAAAGTTTCGTTGGATTTATAAAAGGCATGAAATATTGAAAGATAAAAACTCTTGTCTGATTGTCTATTTCACAAGTTTTTGTAGTCATTAATATCCGTGCATAAAAAAATATTAATAAACAATAAAAAACATCAAGTCATCAATTTCATTCTTTCCAGCTGTTTCTTTCACAGGTTTTTTTTTATCTCATTAACAAATTTGCATTTGCATTACGTAATTCAAGACTGTCATCGGAAGTTATTAAAATTCCGACTCTTTTGTATTCTTTAACAATAACATGTCTTTGATTTTAATTTCGCGAATTTTCGTAATGACTCCTAATATATCATCAAACTAGTATTTACATATATTTTTTTGTTTATCGAACATATATCGAGAGTAGTGTCATTAATAATAAATAAAAAATAACAACATCCAATCTTGAATCAGATAATGTCAATGTTTGTTTTCAAACTAGTTGCTGGTGGGGGTTAATAAGTGGGAACAGAGCGCATTTTAGAGAGTTTCAACTGATAAAAACAAAAGTCATAGTTTTACACCCCTTTTTCAAATTTGTAATAGCAATTAAAACGGTTTTTAAAATTTGTAAAATCAGAACTTTACAAAAATCATAGTTTGACACCCTTCTAAATTAAAATTCTTAGTTTGAGCCCCTTTTAACTTAAATTTCCTAGCTTATTACCCCTTCAACATTATTAATTCAACTTTCTGCATATAAAACCAGACAGTCACCCACTCTATCCATCCCAAACGATTCTAATCACATCAAGTTGCTCTATTTACCAACCAGCAAAGTCCATTCACAACTTGCTTAGCTCACTTAATCCAATAACGGCAAAATCAACTTACCTGTTTGCAATTTGCAAAGAAAATGACTTTGATCGATCTAAAAGTGCTAAAAATTGCAGCATTTCTGTATCGGGTGGAGGTGACCATTTATTTCCATTTCCACTATGATGACCTTGTTTTCCCTCTAATGACGGTGCTCTCTCACTGTTCTCATCTAGTCGCTCTTGTGACGATGTCATCTTGTCAGTATGTCGTATTGACGGTTGTCCACATGATTTATGAACCTATTAAAAATAAACGCAACATTGTATGGAGAAATTTAGTCTCATTTTATCACTCATTTAATAAAATTATTCAAAAAATATGTTTTAAGATGAGATAAATATGAAAAAAAATTTTTGTTTAATATTGCCGCACTATTATTATCATCATCATCGTCGTTGCTGTCGTATTGAGAATAATTAATACAGAAAAATTTTAATATATGGTGACAAAAACAAATAACATTGAAAAATGTGTTTAAATATATAAAGCATGAGAGCAGCAGCGGTTGACGACCGTATAGATTAATAAACAATTTTTAAAGTGAAGTGAAAATTTTCGTTCGAAAATTGGTCGATGTTGTTAATTTATTCGGAGGTTGCTCTAGGAGCTGAAGCTGAAGTGGCTCGGTGGCGGAATGGTTTAGTCTGGTTTAGTACTTCGGTACCTAATTATTGCAATACCGACACAGCGATCATGGGTTCGAGACTGGGTATGGGAAATTTTTCACTTGTCCTTTTTCGAATCATATGTACTGGAAATGAGGCTCACAGCCTTCCTTTGTAGGCTACAGACAGAAATGTCCTCAAAGGAGTGGTTCGGATCCCACTATAAATTGTAGGTCTAGGTTTGAGTGCAGTGGTTTGGCGCATCCTCACTCGTTAAACTCTCATTAGCTGCGAATTGCCGTAGCGCACCTCTGGATCACAATTGATCTGAATAGGTAAAGGTTTTTTTTTTTTTTTGCTCCAGGATTTTATCTCAATTTATGCTTCAAATTTTGTGGATTTGATTGAATGATGAATTTTTGACAGTTTAAATCTGAATTGAAATTTCAACTGCTTTTTAAAATTTGAGTTCTTATGGAGAAATATTTTGTCCGTTGATTCCAACTTTTCACAGCCAACACCATGCCATGAAAAATTTCATAAAATGAAGTGAGAAAATTGTTCATTAATTCCACTTAATCACAAATATTTTTTTTATTTATTGAAACGAGAAAAACTGAAGAAGAGGAAGGAGAAAGAGTGGAAAATAAATTATTTACACGCAAAATAATCAAACAAGAGACAACTGAATAAAACAACATCAATAAAGACGGCTTAAATTGATAGACGGGCACAAGCAGGCAGTAGCAAGAGTGAACAAAAGAGAGGAAAAAATATTAATATTTACAGTAGCACATCAAAATGTGGCATTCATTCATTCATATATCGCCATCGTATCAATTTACCAATCTATTGAAAGATTTGGACGACAACGACAAATAACGACTGCTGTTGATGTTGACGATGAGCGGATGAAAAAAAAAATGTGTTTTTTTGGGAAAGAAACTGAATTTGTGGCTTTAGCGCATTTTGATCGATATCAAGTGACATTTGGATTGAATATTGAAGCTAGATTAGAACTAATAAAACTACTTGTTGATGGATTTGAGGCTTACTGTTAATAATATGGATGGTTAACATAACTGGTTAATAAAGCTTCAATATTTCTTATTTATAATATAACAAGTTGATAAAAGTTTTCTTAGAGTAGTAAAGGACGAGGTTCAATTCCTACTTAGATTCTTATACTTGGCTGGATAGATCCAAACCCCCCTGAACTTGACAAATATCTAGTTAAGCATCTGTTCTGTGTTATGGACCATTTCAGCATTGAAATCCTAAGATTCAATAATTAATAAAGTTTAGAACCAATTAGACAAAACAAAGACAACAAACCCTATCACGATCAATTCCAAGCACCAAAGGAAAAGGCTTGAATCAACAGAAAACAGAATGGGTTAATAGCAAAATTTATTCAAGAATTTACCGCAATCATAAATAAATTTTAAATGCATTTTCATAGATCTGCATTATGTGGACGTGTGCTGAAAATTGAGATTTTGTCAACACATCACAGGGATGACATGGAATGGAGATGGTGAAAATGCATAAATAAATATAAATGATCTCAATGTCATGCACAATTGACAGCCGAACATTTCTCACCATATGCAAATATGTGTCTATAGATGTGTATAATTTGCCTATAAAATTATATGAATGGAGAATGGCATAATAAAAAAAATAGTTGGTAAATTGCCATATTAATCACTATCAAAATGTTAACTTCAAGCAATTGATTAGAAGATGTGGCGATTTGTGAAATAATTTGTAAGCTTGCTTTTTTTCGAAAATGCCATTATAATAAAGCCATAAAGTCATAATTGTTTTCCTCAACATTTATCCATATACGCTAATATTGGGCATTTGAATGTTCGTCAAATAGCAGCAATAAAAAAACTTTGTGTTGATTTTTTAGCCACCAAAGACTCATCAATTCTACTCTATAGTCGAGTCATGCGATCATCATGATTATAATGATGAAGACGAAAAGAACACAAATCTACAAAAGCTTCAAGATTTTTTAATCTGATTATCTTTTCTTTCTCATTATAGCTCTTTTCTCCATCTTGCTTCTTACTGGTTTGATTTGTTCTTCTTCTTACTTTTTTTTTGCTACTTGCTGATTCTGTATTAAGCCACTCTACGGTCAGCAATAAATAGCTTTGTGTGAATTTTTTTTTCATCTCTCTCCTCTTTTTTTGTGTCTAATTTCAACGAACTTTAATTGAATCAAATTGCCTTTTTTGTCTTCTTTTTGTGAGAAATTTCTACACTTAATCAGAATTTCTTTGAAAAGTTTTTGGTGCTGTAATCAAATTTTTTAATTTATATTGTCTTCGTCTTTTGACTGGATTCTTGGTGTTGAGGATGATTGCTAAATGAATTTTCTATGGCATTTATATAGAAAGATGTTTGGTGATATCGTGAACAGAGTTGTCAGATAGGGGCTTCGTCGTATTATGGAAGGTTTAGTTTTTGTTTAGACAATTCTGATCATAAGGATGTTTCGAATCCATGTCTTGTAGAATGAGATCGATTTATAGTAGGAATTGAACCCAAGATCTTGCCAAATAGAGTATTACAGCTCTAGTGCTATGACAATTTTGTCAATGAGGCTTTAATGTTGCACTGGCAGATTTGCTTACAAATGGTCTTATAATTGATCCTGGCTCGCATAGAATTGAGAATCGAAAGTCAAATCCACAAACATTTCAAACAAAAATAGGAGGGAGGAGGGTTAATGCATATCATTATCAACAACTTTATATGATGCTTCATCAGCAAATTGAATTAACTCATCAAATCCAAATTCTGCTTACTAATTCAGTCATGACACATCCCAAAATAAACGTCTTTAAAAAAGGCACCAATTAATTCCACTTTAAAATGCGTTAAAATTTCTTATCAACAGCAATCTTCACACTCTGATTCATTCGAGAACTTTCCAGTTCTTCTTCTTATTCTTCTTAATAAAAATAATCTGACTAACTCAACAATGTAAAGTTCTTAATTTATCAGAGTCGATATGATATGATACGTCTAGACATCTCAATAAAATAGCATTATAATTTCTCAGCTTAATTCTCAAATATTTTTTGCAGCATCTTAATGTGTTGAAATAATTTTCTCTTGACAAGCCAAAGTCAATATATTCTTTTTAATGATATCTCAATTTCCAATCTCATATTGATTATATGACGAGAAATTTGTTTTTGTGTTAAGTTTATGATGTTACCATATATCCATATAGTCAATGGATTTTTCACAAAGAAATCTTATTAATTTTATATTTCTGCTTTAATTTAATATTCGGTCATAAAATCGAAGTGAGTGAGGGAACAAGTCAGTTAAAAAAAAATTTGCATATCTCATTGCATTCTTTATTATAAGATATATCCTCCTGCTAATGAGTTTTGTGATGATGGCTGTCAAAGTTACGTTTGATGCCGCCATCGCTCCTAGTGTGTCAAAACTGGTTCCAACACAATCAATTAAAAATATTTTTGCGATCATTTTTGCATTTTTATTATTTGCTGTACCAGAAGTGGGAGTGGGTTAAGTTTTGTGTTGTAAAAGTATCACTTAGAAGCTACAATATGCTTTGTCCCAGATCCAGGACAAAAACTATAAACAGAACCTAGAAGACCAAACTATAGAGTTTGTCAGCAATACAACAGATTAGTATAGTGTCCATCCCTTGAATATGATCATCAAAGAGGTATCATAAAAATATTAATACACAGCATGACAAACAAATGTCGAAAATTCTATGAAAATAACACATTCATTTCTTCAAAAAAAAAGGAAAGACGAAATAAAATTATAAATATAAGAATTGATATCGGAGCAAAAACACCATGAGTAGTGGAAGCAAAAGAAGAATTAAAATGAATTTAAGATAGAAGATGCGCGTTGTCATTTGAATATTGTTGCTGCTGATGATGATTCTTTGCAGGAGGGGGAAAATACCGGGGACGATGGCATTTTGTTTGTACAAGACATCATGTATAATATCAAGAAATCTTCCAATTTATTTTTCATGAATCGCTGGGTTTTCTCTCAACGTCCATGATTCTCCCATCAATTTAAAATCACAATTTTTTTTTACTGCTGGCAAATGACTTCCACTTCTTCACCATCATATTGTCCGTAGACTTTTTTTTTGTTATTCTAATTCTTTTATTTTATACATTTTTATGAGTATCTAGACTGCTTGTATCATCTCGGTTCTGTTTGGATGCCATAAATATGGCACTTGCGCTCACTCATAAATTTGCATTTAAACAACAGTATAACGTTGGCAAAAGAAAATTTAAATTTAATGAATTAATTAAATTAAAGCGCGTCGAACATAAAATATATACACGAAAAGTAATATAAAAAGTCGCCGTTGTAAAATTAAAATTTTTTTGGACAAGGGGTGTCAAAATATGCAAACATGTGTTAACGAAATTAAAACTTTCCTATCTTAAAGCTCCCTTATTTGGAAAGAAGTTTGTTTTGGAATTAATTTTTGTAAAATATATTAAAATCTGAGTTTTTTGACATTCAGAATACGTAAATTGTGCAGCAGAGATTCAACCAATTTGCATTAATTAGCGGATAATTAAAAACTGAAGTTAAAATATCTA